TTCATGATTTCGTATATATACTGGAGCTCGAACGTTGAGACTCCCTACACACTGCTCACAAGCTTTCTTGCACACAACACAGTGCAACTCGATCTGTTATGACTACCATTTCTCCCATTCCTCAACCGTGAGCCCTTATGCCTTTTACCAATTTCTTGCCGCCCTGATGATTTTATTCTGCATTTTAGACCAACCCTTCCCATCATTGGGAATGCCCATCTGATCGATAAAGAGGTATGTATTATTTCTCTTTCCTGATCTTGGATCTCTCTTGATATTATTCCTCGCAGGTTCCGATAAACACCTACCTCAACCTCGCGAAGAAGTACGGCCCGATTTATCAACTTACTTTCCCTGGTCCCCGAACCTCCATCTTTGTCTGCAACCATGAATTGGTAGATCAAGTGTGTGATCAGAAGCGATTTGTAAAGAACCCCAAGGGGGCGTTGAAAGAGGTAAGGCATCTCGTTGGGGATGGCCTCTTTACCGCTTATCCTGGTGAGGCGACATGGGGTATTGCGCGTAAGTGTGATGGGAATTTGAGGAAAAAGCCATATTGACGACAAGAGCAGATCGAATCCTTATTGGCGGATTTGGCCCGGCGAAGATTAAGGGCATGTTTGGTCCCATGGTCGATATCGCGTCTCAATTGGTTAGCAAATGGGAGGTGAGCGCCACATACATATTGTGATAGTAGAATACGGCTCACTTCTTCTTCTAGAGGTGAATTATTACAATTTCAACGAATAACCCAAAGAATTGTGATTGATCCCGATATAGATTCGGTCCAGACCATGTTATCGATGCAACCGAAGACTTTACCAGACTTACATTCGATACGATTACCCTGTATGTCATCTCCCAAAAAGTATCTCCTGGAACTCTAATAACTTCCTCTCACTCTCAGCTGCGCCATGTCCTACCGTCTTAACTCATTCTACTCCGTATGTTAACTCTACCTAACCAATGCGCACTCATATTCACTCAAAACATTGCATAGTTGGAAACGGTGCCTTTCGTCAAGGCTATGGGAGAGTGCGTCTTTTCCTTCCTTTCCTCTCCCATCTCGACTTCTTACTTATAACATTATGTTCAAAGCTACCTTGTCGAATGTGGAAACCGCGCTATGCGCCCAGGATTTGTACAGAACTACCTCTCACACTCCGCTAACGTGAAATTCGAAGAAGACAAGAAGATCATGCTTGAATTGACGGACAAGGGTGCGTTATCATGCTCAGTCATTCTAGCTTTTATTGACGCGATTCCACTGACAGTCGTCGCCCAACGCAAGGCAAACCTTGCAGCTGGCCCCGAAGATCTTTTGCAGCTCATGCTTACTGCCACCGACCCTGTGACCGGACTAGGCATGACGGATGAAAACATCACACACAATTTGGTGACGTTTTTTATTGCTGGGCATGAGACGACGTCGGGGCTGCTTAGCTTTACTGTGAGCCTCTCTCTCTCTGACTCCTCTTCGATACTCTACTGAACATACATAGATCTGTCATCTATTGAGTAACCCGCACGCATATGCAAAGGTTCGCGCCGAGGTAGATGCGGTCTTGAAGGGCGAGCCTATCCGTCCTGATCACTTGGGCAAACTTACCTACATTGCCGGTACATCTACTTATAACATCCCTTTTTCACGTTATACTCATTTCGAACATGAATTGACAGCCGTGCTCCGCGAAAGTCTCCGCCTTACGCCCCCCCTTACGTCCCCCGCTGTCGAAGCGATGGAAGACCAGATCGTGACTTGCGAAGGGAAGCAATACCTAATCCCGAAGGATACAGAGGTACGGATCTTTACGACGCAGCTGCATAAGGATACGAAGGTTTGGGGGGAAGATGTGAGTATATTTCTCCTCTTTCATTGTTTAAAGATTGGATGCTGATTCGTCTTACTCGTCTAGGTGGATATATTTAGACCTGAGAGGATGCTGGATGGTGGTTTTGAGAAGGTGCCGGTAAGGATCTTATATCCAATTCAATTGGAATGGTGGTGCTTAGTGGAGTCTTTAGGTCAATGCATGGAAACCATGGGGTAACGGTGTCCGTGCTTGTATCGGAAGGTATGTCAAAGCATACGCATCCCTGTTCAATCAACTAACACTATCATTTCGTTCACAGACCTCTAGCATGGCAAGAAGCAATCATTGCCCTCGCTGTCATCTTCCAAAAGTTCGACCTCGTACTCCACGACCCATCCTACAAACTTCTCTACAAATCTACCCTCACTGTCAAACCACGGGACTTCAAAATCCATGCGATACCCCGCCCAGGCGCACCTTCCCTTTACTCCTATGCACCCGCAGTGCAATCACCGGTTTCAAATGATAAGATCAGCAAGGAGACTGTGGCAAACCCTGTGGATGGTGTGGATCTGTATTTGGCGTATGGAAGCAATTCTGGGACGTGTAAGGACTTTGCGCAGAGGGTTGGGAGTGAGGCTGCTAGTAAAGGTATGTGTTCGTATACTTCTTCTATTACATAGTTAACTCATATATTACTACAAGGCTTCATCCCCCACGTCGTCACCCTCGACTCCATCGAGCCTGCTGTGCCCACCAACGGCCCCGTCATCATCTTCACAGCATCCTATGAAGGTGAACCCGCCGATAACGCATCTCGCTTCGTCCAGACGATCCAAGCCGCACATGAAGGGCAATACACTGGAGTCAAATATGCGGTGTTTGGGTGTGGACATCATGATTGGAGGCAGACGTACCAGAAGATTCCGAAGTTGGTGGATGGCATCCTTGCGGAAAGTGGGGCGACGAGGTTGATGGAGAGGACGGAAGCGGATTCGGGCGCGGATGAGTTCTTTGATCTGTTTGATGCATGGGTACCAGATCTTTGGAAGGCTCTAGGAAAGGTAAGCTTTCTGAATATTTGTTATTTGTGGGCGCGTTAATTGATCGATTGTTGTATAGGCGTATGGAGATCGTGTCCATGTGGCTGTGGATGAAGGAAGGGAAGAGAAGTTATCCATCGAACTGATGAATGATAGTAGGGCTGCTGTTTTGAAGAGGGATGAAGCGACATCGATTGGCAAAGTCATCTGCAATCGACTTCTTACAGCACCTGGGGTACCCGCCAAGCATCATATTGGTATGTACTTATTTCCTTGCTTTTTTCCCCTAGAGCTAATGTCGACTGGTTTGCAGAGATTGAGTTACCGGAGGATATGAACTATGAACCGGGTGATTATCTTTCGATTCTCCCAAGGAA